TAGAGAGAGAGAGAGAGAGAGAGAGAGAGAGAGAGAGAAAAGTGTTTCATAGGATAATACCTTTGTTGGGTTAGGAACAAGGGATCTGAGAGTACTGAACTTTTTATTTAGGTACTCCCTCCTATCCCTCTCAGTAGTGAAGGGCTTGGTCCCCCTTCCTTTCCCTTTAGAATTCTTCCTCCCAAACTCCAACACTGTGTTCCCATACTGCCTCCCCTCAACCCCACCCTCTTGATACATTGTTCCCTCCTTTTCATCAACCCCAAAATACCCATTGCCCTTAGGGCTTGGCATGTGGTAATTGTGGGGCAATGTGGTGAATAGATCCCTAAGTAGAGGGGGCTGTGGGGGAAAAGTGATATGCAATGGGTCATATAACATGCTTGAACTTGTTGATATAGCATCATTGGAAGGGATCTCACCAAATATATCTAAACTGCTCCTCTTGAGATTGCTGTTGTTGAATGGCATAGATGAGCACTTTGGCAAATGCAATAAATTTAAAAGGTCAGGTGCATTATATGGAGTGTTGCTAAATGAATTTGGATTGAAGCATGGGAGCTGCTGATGATCTTGGTGTTCTTGATGGTGGTGGTGAAGATGGTCATGATGATGGTGGTGGAGATCCATGTCATGGACATTGGCATCATCCCAATGGTTGTGATGGTGGTGCTCCAATTGGGTTGCATTGTTTTCTTGCAAGACCTCATGGATGATTTGGCTGTTGATTTCTTGATCTAATTCGAAGCCAATTTGCTCTTGAATCCCCATTCTTAGGGCTGCTTCATCGTTCACGTTGTTTTGGGGGAGGTCTTCTAAAGAGAAATTCAGTAGTCTAAGGGATTCCTCTAGGCTTCCCATCACTAAATTTGGTGCACTGTTTGGGGTGGGGCAAGAGTCTTCAGTTTCTTGTGTGGAATGTGGAGGAGGAGGCTCTTGGGTCTCAAGGAACTTATTCTCGTACATTATCTTTCTTCTTCTTCTTGGAGTCTTTGGGCTGCAATGGTCAAAGAGAGTCAGATTTGGTGTAGTAAAGGGGATACAGTACTTACACAGTATCCTGATTCTCCAAATCCATCTTACTTTTAAATTTTTTATTGTAATTATTGTTAGTTACCCCAAAATTTTGCGGAAATATGGATGCAACGATAGTAGAAAGCATCAAAATATTGATCAAACTTAAGTCATCCAAGCATAAGAAACAATGAAAACAGAAAACCCTTTTTTGAGTGGTAGGTGAAATCAAGTTTCATATTATTTTTCACTTTAAAACAGTTATACCGAGAGAGAGAGAGAGAGAGAGAGAGAGAGAGAGTAGTTAC